GCCCAACAGGGTCCTCAGACAATTCGGAATGCGTCAATTCATACCTGTTTCCTGCAATTTTGCAGACAATCACGACATGCATGATCGTCGTGGCCGACAAAACACGGATTGGGCTAGAGAACATGCGAGGCCCATACTTGTCTGGAATGATCGTGCTAACCGAGTTTGTGAAGCGCGGCTAGCAGATGGACCCGTTGCGTATGATGATGATTACCTTGTCTGGTATCGTCGGATTACTCGACAGATTATCGGAAATCCCAGTATCCGATTTCCAAAAGGGTATGCATCCCTTGCACCAGTGGCCGAGGTTATGGTATGTACTTTGCATTAAGATAAGTTAATTGCGTTTTCTGTGGGACCCCACAGTGTGGGATAATACTGGGTGTGTTGTTGTTGTTGTTGTTGTTGTTGTTGTTTGTATCATTTTCTATGGAATTCATTCTTATGTCAGAAAAACCAGCTAATTAGTTCATTTGATATATTGTATAGTGTGCACCAGTGATATATTATAATTTTTGAACCTATTCTCTAGGTGTATATTTTGATAGATATCTGAAATTGTTCAAAAGTTGGTTTTCATTGTATCCTGGAATACATTTCTACCTTTTTCAGCCTTATGCCCAGCAAAAAGCTTTTTGATTGTTTTTTTCCATCTCAGTATAATTTCTGGCATGTGTAACTTTTGGATAGCTGCTGATAGCATGTCTCTTGGAAGACACTTCGGTTGAAGTATTACTGCTCTTTATATTTTCACATCATTTATACCTTAAACTTTTTCGGTGTATTTGTGGGCCTTATTTTCTGTCAAAAATACAGGAGGAAAAGGTTGATGAGCTAGTTAACTATCATGTCAGCTGTGGTTTTATTAGTTTGTATTAGAAAAATAATGATCCTCGATTTTGCAATTCCAGGCGCGTCAGTTGCATATGATATATCAATATGGGATTGAATTGCGACAACAACCATCAATGGAGGTTGCAGGAAGGAAAGTCATGGAGATGTGCAGTGATGGTTTGACAGCAGCAATCGAGGCTCAGAGGCTTCGTGTTCAGCCAATGTATGTTCCAGTTAAGCAGCCTGTAGTTGATCATGCTGTTAATCCACATAAACGTGGAAGGGCAGGGAGACGCAAAAAGAGACGTGCGATAGCAGCAACTAATGTTGAAGAAAGGTCTGAAATGTCTTATACAAATTCGGATTTGGAGCGTGATCGTGGTGCAGGTGGTTCTGTTAAGGGTGATGGAAATTTAAATGTTGAAGCTGAGCTTGGTATGGATTCATCACAGTTTGCAGAGCCCCGTTTTGATATGGCATCTAGTTCAACACAATTTGGGGATGGTTCTGAATTGCATAATGTTGACATTCAACTTGTACTTTATCAGATCCCACCCTCTCAGCAGTTTGATATGAATAATTTTGGAGACGGGTTTGATGATGACGACATACACCACTCCCCTGCCCGTCCTGATCGACAGGTTAACTATGATAATACCCCTAGCCAGATGACTTTAGAGGCCTCTTGTGTTACAACTATTGGTTCTGTGGATGATAAGCCTATGGAGCAAGCAATTCCAACCCGAGGAAGTAGACGAGCGAGATTTTACAAACGCCGTGTTAATAACAATGTAGATGCACCGCGGCGACAAAATCTGGCACACCCTATAGTGCCGCTACGTTGCTATAAACCCTAAAGCACCCTAGCAACTAGGTGCTCCTAATTTCTCATGAATTTGTATACTAACACTGCTAGATAGAGTGGTTATCGGGGTTCTAAAAATCTAACTTAAGTTTCGCTTTTTGCAGTATACACAAAGTCAAACTTCGGGATGAAGTTATATGCATGAAAGGAAGTGACTTCCTAGAGGGGATATCTACCACCTGTACCCTTCGTTTATATGCTCAAATATTGGAGGAAGACTTGCACATTATCTACCCATGGATTTCCCAAGTTAGCATGAATAAAGCTTGCACATTTGTTTTATTCCATGCTGTGTTGAGTGGGTTTAAAGTTAATAGGCGATACCAATTTATGGCTTAAATAGTGAAACAGATTGCTTAACATGGCCCTCTAAAAGAAGTTTTCTCTGATCTATTCAGTTTGTGCAGGATACCAGATGCTTTTATTGAAGATTGGAGCTTACAAGGCTGGAATATACCTTTTAGGCGAGTGCTGAATGATCGGGAGGTGGATAGAATTACTGAGTTCTTCAAAAGGCTGGACATGTTCAAAGGCACAACTGACGCTGGAGATTCCATGATATGGAAAGGTAATGGCAGAAAGTGTTTCACACTTAAATCAACATATAATGCATTAACTGCTATTGGACAACAAGACACAAGATGGCCTTGAAAGAATAGTTGGAAAGCCAGGACTGCTGTTAAAGTGAGATGTTTCTCTTGGTTGGTAGCACAGAGAGCATGCCTTACTCATGAAAACCTGCAAAGGGGAATACTGTTGAGTTCAACATGCTTTTTATGTCAGGAGTGTGCTGAAAATGTCAGCCATTTGTCTTACGTTGCGAAGTGACTGGTCAACTGTGGCAGATTTTCTTGAGCATGTTTGGTCGGAAACGAGTCATGCCAGAGTCCACTTTTTATATGCTGAAGTGCTGGAACAAAGTGGGAGGCAGTGTAAGGAACAAGAGGTGGTGGAAATCTATCCTAGCTTGTATATGGTGGACTGTATAGAGTGAGAGAAATACAAGATGTTTTGAAGATATTAATAGCTCTACACAGACACTTGAGATGAACTGTGTAATAGCGTTATGTTTCTGGTGTAAAGAAAACTTTGTAGAAGATGCTGAATCTTTACTAGACTTTTTGGAATCTCTGTACTTAGTCCTAGTAAGTAGTCCTTGTAAGATGAACAAGCTTTTGTTTAGAGATTTTGTAAAGATGAATATACTGTTACCTATCATCATATCATATCATACTATATTATAAGTGGGAAGCCACAAACTCAAAATTAATTTACGAAAATATTCATTTAAAATTGATTGACCATTTTGTCATTCCCTTAAAAATTTAAAAAGAATTTTTTATTAAATGGATAAGTTCAATTACCCTAAAACTGAATACAAAGTAAGAAATCCTACATCTTCCGCTATTAATTGGCTCTAATCCTTGCCCTTTAGCTTTCACAATTAAAGTCATCCGTTTACTTTATTTCACATACGTTGAATCAATTATAAAATGCATAATAAATTGTCACTCCACTTTATTTCTACATTTATCATTTAGGGACAAAACTTTATCCATGGTCTAAAATACATTTTTCATAAGAAGGCATTGCTCTTTGGCTTTTTCGCTCTTTTCATTTGCCGTGAAGGTACCTAATTGGTAAAATGAATTTCTTTTCTTATATGCACAAAGATGTGCAAAGGCTTTTCCTTCCCTTGGTTATTATTATATATGTTGGACTTTAAAGAATTTGATCTATTTTTCTTAGTCTTTTAAAGTTTTTTATTATTTATCTCTTACGTCGTTCAACCAGCTGCTTTATATCAAACTGGCCACTCTTAATTTCTGTTTTGAACATATTCTTCATTTTTTTCATAATATAACTTTTATATCTACTTTCTTGCAGTGCACTTATTAGTCGATCCCTCGTGGAGCTGAAAGTAATTCTAACACTTAAACAATATTCAAACTCTACTACGAAGTTGCATGCGATGGCTCACAAACAGGTATCCATAAAGAACTACCGTAAGGATTCTCTTCATTAGCAATTTTCTTGAAGAGGCAGTGTCGCAACAATGTCTTTTAAATCCAATTGACAAAAAAGTAAAAACTACAATTGCAAGAATTTTGAAAAAGTATACCTATATAAAAACTCTTTTTGAAGGTTTGAAAAGAATGAAACTAAAAATTGCTTTTATTAAGGATTAAAGTTTATGCAGCCTAAGAGTAGCCTTGTTTTTTTTTTTTTTTTTTTTTTAATATGGAGAAGCAAATGTGTGTATTCATATTCAAATTATGTGGAGCCAGATTTTTGTTTTTCCTTCTGGATAGGGAGGTTGAGAAGTTGATCCCTTTGTCACTTGCAATTTTTTTGTGGCTTATGCTTTAAATTTTGTTATTTTTAGCATATCTTTTTGGTTTTTTTGATTTCTTTATGGTTTGAAAAACTAAATTTGGAATTAGAAGATATTATTTTCTTTGATTTGATAGAGAGTTACATTTGTTCATACAATATTAAAACACTAAACAACCAACATTTGATATATGATTATCATATTAACTTTCATAATACAATTTTATTTGGACAATTCAACTTTCTTATGCTAAATTGACAAATGAAAGGCGTCATTATTTAAAAGCAACCAAAGTGTATCTATACGTGCAACAATAATTTATATACATTAATTAACTTTATATTTCAATACTGTTATTGTATATCTTTCAAAATTGACTATTGCTTCTTGGCAGATGTACGTCAATAATAACTTGGTAATGATCTAGACATCCTAAGGAAAACATATGTCAATCAAATTTAATAGTTACTATAAAATGTTACTTTATTCGATAACTTCTTGATATGTATGAAGTTGTAAAAAGAATGAGGTTACCGACTCAGAGGCACGGTGGAGCCAAGATTTGAAAGTTATGAGTTTGGAGTTTTAATCATTTTAAGTTATTGGGTTCTAAATTAATATTTAGTACATATCAATGAATTTAATAAGACAAATACAGAGTCTGGACCAAAGCTATTGGGTTCGACCGAACCCATAGCTGATGGGCTAGCTCCGTCCCTGGTTACAGTTTCTTAAAAAGAAGGCAGAAACGTGAAATATTTGCAAATATAGCCAACATTGCTCATATTTAAATGTAAATTATGAGTAGTTGCAATATAAAAGAATAAGAAAATCGTCAAGCTAAATAATTGATATGTTAGAAGAACTGCAAAATTGAAATTATTGGAACATTACTTAGTTGCATTGAATTTTATAACAATATTAATAATATAAATAAATAAAATACATAATGGTAAACCAAAAGTTTAATAATTCCAGTAAATCTATGTTTTATGATGACAATAAATATCATACGATTTAATTGTACCATTATAAAATATTTGTGCTGATTAGCATTGAATACACGTGCAAAGCAATCTCATGTTTAGTTCCACTTCTGAAATTCTGTATTGACAATGATGTCAAGGGATGATGCTATTGATGGTAAGAAATCTCATGATTTCATATGATATTCTTTGTTTTTTTACTTCTCCAGTTCCTTATCCCATGTTATAATTTGTGGGCAAAGTAATGTCAATCCTGTAGTGTTCTGCTAAACTGGCGGTAGAGAAAGGGACCGCTCAAGGTGGAAACAAGTCATGCTTCAAGCAGTTGTCCGGCTGCATATTCTTGGGCTTGTGGGACACTTTATATTAGGTTGCCTTTAATTTCGTTTTTTTTTGGCTGGGAAAAATATTGTGCGATACATTGATTGCTATCTCATGCAGGAGCCGGAGACAAAAATATGTGCGAGAATATTGTGTGGATTGAATAACTGTCTAGGCAGTGCAATCTTGAGTGTGGACTTCTAAATGTTCCTTGTATTGCATATTAGTTTATGTTGTCATTATAAATTTCAAAAAGCTTCTCAATAGGCAGCCAGTTGACCTCTTAAAGCCTTCTACAAGGTGTTTTTGTGTTGGATACATTAATTGGTTTTGTTATCAATTATCCAACACTTACTCAAAACCTGCAATCTCCTGTATTGGCTAACATGTAATCTCATGGATTTATACCTTAGCTTTCTGATCTTGGATGTTTGTTTATCAATTTTCTTGGATTGCAGGCCAGACACAATTTTCTAGTCTCAACTAAGAGTACCTTCCAAGAATTGTTCCATGTTTTGCAGAGGTACTTTGAAACCAGAACCAGCAGTTGCTCAACAGACCTCACACAACATCTTCAATGTCTCATTTTCCTTCTTGTTGTAATTTGCCATCAATTGAGCTAGCTATTGCTAACCTATGATGCCATGACATTTTTTATCATTTACATAATCATTCACAACAGCTTTTGATATCCATTTCCCACATAGAACAGCTAGTGCACTGAAGTTATCTCATGTTTCCTGTGACAAATGGAACTTCTTCACAAACTATCAATGTGCAAGCAACAAAATATCATATAAAGAAATAATGTTCACATGTCAAGCAATGGATCCTTCCAAAGAAATTATTTTCAAGTACAAACACAAATAGAAAAAGAAAATGTCTTCAATTTTCCCAGCTTCCATCTAGCTGGATATATTATTGTACATAAAAAAAACAAAGGAAAAAAGAGAATCACTGGTTTTTTAAAATCATCCATGACTATGCTGAAGATCCATTTCTCCTCTATCATTCAATCACAACCTTTCTCCTCTGCAAAGCAAAGAAACACTTCTCAGGTTTGTTTTAATAAGATTTAAGAGGTTAAATGTACAAGCTAAGAAGATGGTGCAAATAAGCTTGAGTCAATTACCTGTTAAACCAGGGTTGCAGCTTTTTATTTGCTTGTCAGGCCGACGAATCTAAGTGATAAATAATGACCTCGATCTCCTTTTCACACTCTTCTTTTTGCTCTTCCTGAATTTGCCGGACTGATTTTTCAAGAGATTCACCACACCGTTTCACTTCAATCATCTTTATACTTGAAATTTCTCCAATAGCAGAAGGGATTTCTTGAAGATGGAAGCAGCTTTCTACCATAAGCCGTTCGAGGTTTTGCAAGGACTCATCTGAGGCACTCCATTCTGTAATTTTGAGGGACCTCAATTTAAGAACCTTGAGGGTCGGAAACTCTTCATCTTCAATTTCCCATTTTCCTTCCTGAAATGCTCTATGCTCCAACTTGAGAACCACTAAATTTGGTAATCTCCCGATATTAGACATTTCAGTTTGTGGCAACGAAACATCAGATAAAGTTAGCTTTGTCAGCGTCTCGGGCATGCTGAATTTCAAGATCTTACCATTCACACTGAGTGTTTCAAGTGGAAGAGCATCTAATATGAGTTTCAAAGGCTCTTTACAGTGGCACTTGAGCTTTCGCAGTCTGGTTGCCTTCTTTATCATGTTTTTTGCTAGCTTATTAGTGAGAGACACTGTCGCCAAGGTCTCTAAACAACATAATGTTGTGGAGTTGCTAGGAATGCGTCCATCAAAAGATGCAACAGGTTGTACATGCACATGTTTTAACCTTGGCATATTCCAGATGGCCATCGGCAATATTGTACCACTGCCCACTGTTGTTACAAGCAAGACCTCAAGGTTTGAAAGGTTTGATATCCATGACGGCATAGATTCTACGTAGCCTTTGATTCCTACGTACTTCAAAAGAATAAGCTCTTTTGATCTTTGGAATGAACTGTCCGACACAGGACATTCCATTTGTAGAACTCTTAGAAGTTTAAAGTTCTCAAGATCAAAAAATTCCTGGCAGCCAGATTTCGGGGGTCTGAAGAATGCAGAACGAACTTGCAGGTTTCCGATCCTCCCTGCCCAATAAAGGCTATGATGAATGCACAGCCTCCGGTGCTCATAAAAGGAACTAGTCAAATCTTTGTTCTCAGTGCTTGTTATCTGCATAAACTTCTCTTCCTTAGCTTTTGTTACACAAAAGTCGTGCAGCATATCATGGATGTGACACGATCTGACTCCTCCGGTGGACCTTTTCTTGTTAACCATTACCAAGCTTCTACCAATGAGATCATTCAGTAAAGTTTCTGCAACAAGCTCTACACTCTTTGGCTTTCTGTTCGGAACATCTACACTCTTTGGCTTTCTGTTCGGAACAAATCCCTCGATAGTCCATAACCACGCCAAGTTTGAGATTGGAATTTCTTCATCCTCACGAAATGATGCAAAATAGAGAAGGCAGGGCTTGAGGTGATCTGGCAAGTGCCTGTAGCTCAATTCTATTATATCTAGGCACTTG